ATCATAGTCTATTACACATCAACTAACAGACAAAAACTACATGATGTCATATATGCTAAAAAGGCATTTGACAAAACCAGCAGCAAATCTTAAAAGCTCTAAGTGAATTAGGAATAGAAACATATAATAAAGACCATAAATCAAGAACAAATATTATCCTAAACAGTAAAACTCTAAAACAATTTCATCTAAAATCAGAAATTAGACAGATTTGTCAGCAATCATGATTATTATTTAATATTCTCTTGGACTGTTACAGCAAATGCAATATGACAAAAATTACTGATATGAATAGTAGAAGAGATAAAACTATTTTTGTTGATAAAATTGTAATCTCAAAAAACTTAAGAAACTTTAGTAAAATTACTACTAGAATTAAAAGATAATTTGACTTTTTTCCTATATTAGCTATAAATTCTTTTTTTAAATTAATTTATTTGGGAGGCATTAGGTTTCTTCCTTTCTTTATTTTTAGAGGAGGTACTGGGGATTGAACCCAGGACCTTGCGCATGCTAAGTATATGCTCTACCACTGAGTTTCCACCCCCCCAAGTCAGTAAATTCTTAGATATGGAAAAAGTAAAACATTACACTTCACCATAGTGACAAGAATTATATAATGCCTGAGAATAAATTTAAAAAGAAAGGCACAGAACTTATATAAAGAAAATTGTAAGGCCTTATCTAACAGCACAAAATAAGGGATGAAGAAATGGAAAGCCATAGTGTATACTTGGATGGAAAAATTTACTATCACAAAAATGCCAATCCTTTTAAAGATAATATATAAACTTAATTCAGTTCCAAATAGAATCCAAGAGGAAATTATCAGGAAAAACTGGATTAACTGAGCTTAAAATTTATATAAAAATTTAAATTCGATTCCTATTTTATATCACATACAAAATTATAATTCAAATGGGATTAAATATTAAATGAAAAATATAAAGATCTTTGAAGAAACTCTAAGAAACTATATATATTGTCTAGAAGTTGGAAAAACTACGTTACTCAAGGAAGGAACTTCACGAGCTATAAATAAAATGACCTGTATGTTTGACATAGAAGTTTAAAACTTTTTGTATGGCAAAATGGTATCATAAATAAAATTAGGAACAACAAATTTAGAAAAATGCTGTTAAAAATTGACAAGAAAAAGATAGCCCAAAGAAAATGAACTTGAGCTTATTTTTTTTACAACTAATTCATAGTACATTGTCAACAAGTATGCAAAAATATGCTCAAGTGTAGTCAGGGAAATGCAAATTAAAGTACTGCTGAGAAATCACTTTACACCCATCAGACTTAACAAAAATTTGAAAGAGCAAAAACATCTATTGGTGGTAAGGATGAAAGAAGAAGGTACTCTTATACAAAAATGATAGACATGATTTGACAACAAATATTTTAAAATGAAAACATACATATACTTTGAATCAGCAATTCCATTCTTAGGAAGCTATTCCAATATGTATGCATAAGGATGTTCTTCATAGTATTGCTTATTTGTACAAAAACCTAGAGACAGAGCTGTTAATTATGAATGAGTTACGGTTGACCCTTGAACAACATGAGTTTGAACTGTGTAGGTCCATTTACACATGGATTTTTTCGCTAAATTTATATTACAGTACTGCGGGATCCACAGTTGGTTGAATCCTTGAATATAGAGGAGTGCCAATTGTGAAGTTATGCACATGTACACCAGAGATAGACACACTGTAATTGACTTCAGTAAAAAATAAAAATAAAAAATAAAGTTATGCACAGATTTCTGACTGTGCAGGGTCAGTTCCCCTAACCCCCGTGTTTTTCAGGGTCAACTGTAATTCTGAAAAATAGCTGAATAACTTTTGATATGTTTGCATCATGGGATATTATTAAGCTATTACACAGAAGCACATAAGACCTACATCAGTTGACTTTTAAGGATTTTCAAAGGATATTTTGAGTGAACAAAAATAAGGCACAGAGAAGTATGTAAAACGTAATCCATTTTTAGAAAAAGTTAAAACCCCTAACCCATATTTAAAAATACAAGATGATACATATTGGATAGTTAACATGTGTTATCTGGTGGGTGGGTTATGAGGTGGCTGGAGAAACTGAAGAAAGGAGAAGAGGAGAAGCAAGGAAAAAAGAGACTGCACTAAAGTCACTAGTATATAAGTTATGATTTAATTCATTAAAATTTATATATATTTTACATAAGTATATATATTTATTTTTTCTAAGAAGTTAAGAAAAAAGATAGTTTCTGTACTGACTTGTAGAAATGTCCATGATATAGTCAAAAAACAGTTTAGAATAATGTATATATTACACATGTATTTCTGTAAAAGAACACTCAACTCATCCCTTCTGTATGTGTGCACAAGCGAAGAACAAGTTATAGAATGAGACACATGAGTTGGTCAGCACTGAATAGCTCTGGGATCCAAATTTGGATTGGAGATAGGAGAGGGGATAATTAGCTTCTTTTTTACACATCTTTATGTGTTCTATGTCTTGAAAAAAATGAAAACAAATAAATGAACAAAGTCAAATGTCTACAGGAGCCAGAATGAAGCAGGCTTGTTTGGGGCTGTCATGAAGCAGAATACACACCTAAAAACATTCAGACTGAAATTTTTAAAAATAACACAAAAACTATTTTGTGAGAGAAAAAAGACACAGAAGAGGGCAGGATCCAATTTATTTTGGGTGCCCAGTGTTTAGAAATAGTCCTAGTTGTCACACAGATTTTACATAACAGATTGGGAAACCACATATACTACACTTTTTATCCATCTATACTCCAATCACAGGATCCATAGCAAGGCCCAAAGAAGGCAGAATGCTTCCAGAATGCTTCTGCTCTTTGATGCTAGAATAGGGACTATCAGGAGAACATGTGCATACTATCACAGAAATGCAGCATCATCATGGGCAGAACACCCTTTGACATAAATCCTAGCAATAGTTTTTGGGATATTGTTTCCTAAAGAAAAGTAAAAAAAACAAATGGGACCTAACTAAACTTAAAAGCTTTTGCACAGCAAAGCAAACCACTGGCAAAATGTAGAGAAAACCTACTAATGGGAGAAAATATTTGCAAATAATATGACCAATAAGGGGTTAATAACCAAAATATATAAACACCTCATACAGTCAACATCACAATTCAGACAGCCCAATTAAAAAATAGGTGGAAGAATTAAATAGACATCTTTTCAGGGAGGTCACATGAAGAGATGCTAAACATTGTTAATCATCAGAGATATGCAAATTAAAACCACAGCGAGATACCACCTCACACCTGTCAGAATGCTATCATCAAAGTGAACACAAGTAACAAATGTTGGCGAGGATGTGAAGAAAAGGGAACTCTCGTACACTGTTGGTGGAAATGTAAATTGGTGCAGCCACTGTGGAAACAGTATGGTGGGTCCTCAAAAAACTAAAAATAGAACTACCAAATGACCCAGCACTTCCACTCCTGGGTATATATCTGAAAAAAAAACAAAAACACTAATATGAAAGGATACATGCACCCCAATGTTCATAGCAGTATTATTTACAAATGCCAAGACAGAGAAGCAACCTAAGTGTCCATCAACAGATAAATGGATAAAGAAAGCATGGTGTGTATATACAACGGAATATTACTCAGCCATAAAAGAAGAATAAAATTCTGACATTTGCAACAACACAGATGGACTTGGAAGGCATTTTGCTAAGTGAAAAAAGTCAGAGAAAGACAACTACTGTATGATATCACTTATATGTGGAATCTAAAAAATACAACAAACTAGTGAATATAACAAAAAAGAAACAGACTCACAGATATAGAGAGAACAAATTAACAGTTACCACTGGAGAGAGGGGATGGGGAGGGGCAAGACAGGGGTAGAGGATTAAGAGGTACAAACTACTATGTGTAAAATAAACTATGAGGATATATTATAACACAGGGAATATCACCAATATTTTATAATAACTATAAAGAGTATATAACCTTTAAAATTGTGAATTACTATCTTGTATACCTGTAAGTTATATAATACTGTACATCAGCTATACTTCCATTAAAAAACATGAAAAATAAATATAAAAATACTGACAAAAAAGCAATACAGTGTCCTGGCCTAACGAAAGTCCATGGAGAACACCTAATCCTACTCCTCACTTCACACCTGAGGAACGTGAGGCCAGGTTAAGCAAATGCCATTCGGATCTCCACCCCCCGACCCCATACCCTGAATGGCAGAAAATTATTTTATTTCAGAATTTTCACTCAGGGCAAATAAATGGTAAACAAGTAACAATGGTATTTCATTAGTTCAATAAATAAAAGTTCTCCTATTTGCATGTAAAAAGCAACCCTTAACTGTTACATTAAACTACCGAAATGAAGGCACAGAGCTTAAATTGCCTTATGTAAACCTGTAAAGACACTGCTTAAAGCCACAAGGTCAATTCTCAATCATTCATTGATTCAGCCTTCTTATTCAACCAACATTCACTGAACACTTTCTATACCCCTGATGCCAGGAGGTACTGGTGATACAAACATTTAGTAAGGCATGGTCCTTGTCCACCATCCTGTGAGGAAGTGATAAGCTATGAAACACGTCAGACCAAAATACAAAACAAGTGTAGTCGGAACCATTCATTCTGACTAGAGTTTCAGGGGCGACTCCAGCAAGGGGAAGGTTGACATGGGAGTCATGGATGTAGGATTTCAGAGGCAACAGCAAGAGCAAGAGCATGGAAGTAGTACGTTTAAGGAAATAATCAGAATTGAGCCCAATCCAAGAAAAGTACAAGGGAGAAAAACTAGAAATTCAAATGTTCTAGCCTGAGGATGAAAGTAAATTCAATCCAAGTGTAAGATAATTTGCCAGCCCAACCCCCACATGCCTGGCACATAGGAAGTGTTCAGTAAATAATGTCTGGGTAAATCTTAACCAACTACATAACCTCTCTGATCAATTCACTGAATGATTTCAGCATATTACCATGTACCGTCCAGGGTCTAAATCTCCCATCATTCCTTTCAGGTGTGTGTTTTCACTTCTGACAGCTTTATATCTCATATCTGAGAACTGAAAGGAGATTTGTAGTTAAAATTCAATGTAAAAGTCATAATAAAAGTTCACAATTCTATTAAAATTAATTTTATTTTGTTAATATAAATATTTTGAGTGTGGCCAAGGGAAACGCTTCACTTCTTAGGCAGGATCACCATAAATCAGGTGTTTTCATTCAGTGCTCCGACCTTTGGGAGGCCCCATTCTACCTTTTCCGACTGGTGCTAAATTAAAAAGATAATTACAATAATGATTCACCACCTTTTTTCCTTTTCCATTCCAAAATTCCATTTCTCACTTCTATTTTTCTACCATATGCAAATTATCACCAGAAAAACCACAATTTCAAAAACATGCTTAAATAACACTGTCCATTACATTTCTTCATTACCTGATTAATTTTTACAACATGCAAATAAGATTTTCATGTTCAATTTTGTTCTTTCTGATATTTCTGCCGAATTTCCTTCTTTTTTTGGGACTACTTTGTTTTGTCTCTTTATTTTTTCCCCAATTTCTTCTACTTGGCAGTACTTAGACATAGTATCTCTGCTTTTTTACTGTTTTATTTACCTAGGGCTCATTTCTATACAAAACACTTCCCTTAAAAAGATTTACTTTGTAAATTACAAAATATATCCTCCTTGATGAAACCTAAAAATATAGAAGAATATAAAGGTGAAAATAAAAGTCATTCATAATCCAACTACACCAATCACTGTTGACACCAGTAAAGTATCATTTCCTTTACAGGTGCAACCAATGCTATCGTCCCATCTATGCTGTTTTCCTGTGTATTATACCAGTTCCTCACAGTTTTAGGCTTATAACTGGGCAAAGGTAGAATCTTTTCTTGCTTTTATAATACACAGGATTTAAATAGCCCTGTTATTTGTGAAGTAATCCTCATCTGCCTAGAACATTACTGAATGATGCTCGCAAAACCTCTGTATTTAGGGTAAAAAAGCAGAGAAACCTTACACTTTCAATAGCAGGCCACTAATTTCATGATGAAAAAGGGATGGAGGGAATTTCAAAATAAATGGGGGGGGGAGGAAAGACTTAGAAGTTACTTGCAGCATTTTAACAGTATGATGTTATAATTGCTGTTTTCCCCCGTGAACCATGCTATGCATTGAGTGAATGTTTAGTAAATATGAACTAATCTTCATGTTTCAATATCCATTTTTTAAAACCCTAAAATAAAGACATGAAATGGGCATGGAAAGTGTCCAAGACAACTTGAATAGAAGCTTTTTTTGAGACAAAAATGTTAATGGCAGAGAACGAGGGAAAACAAATACAGGAAGAAATCTCTGACTAGCGCGTACTGGGAGAGGGGTGATCAGAACATGGGTCACTAGGAAACGGCAGCATAGATTGAATGAAATTATCTTGTGCTGCCACTTATCCCCGGTTCTCGTTTGATGACACTTTGCCTTATCTCACCAAGGCTTCATGTGACTCCACAAAGCACTTCCGTGATGTTCGTCTCGGAAACAATGCAGGAAAATACAATGCTTCCGTGAGGCAACAATGACGGCTACTCTCTGCACAGAGCAGGAGAGTGGCCTGGACAGACCCTGTCCTGCTGCTTGCATACCTGCTGTTTCGCTAACATTTTCTCTTTTATTTCCAACTCCAATTTCAACTGTCTTTCCAGAAGGGCAGCTTTCTTCATGATAGTTGCTATAGTGATCTCCTTCTGATGAAGCTCCTCTGTTAGGTCGGAGATTTCACTCCTCATTCTTTCCTGCTCAGAGCTATGGTACTCTTCGTCCTGATAGAGCTGGCTTCTCATCTGCAGCAGGTAGAGCCCAGAAAAGAGTAACACACCCTTTATAAAGCTGCTGCAAGGTCTTACTGGCCATGTTCAGTCCTCCTATCCTGTCGTGAAACTTTGGCCCCACGTTACCCTCCTTTTCTGATCAATGCTTAATTAAAAAGTTACTCCCAATGATTCATTTACCTTTTCCCTCCCAATTTTAAAATTTCTTTTTCACTTCTGTTCTCAATTGTATGTACATCATTACCAACTACTGATACTACTTTGATGACTACTTTGACAGGAAGGTAGGGAAAGTATTATCAAGCTTCCCCCAGATTCACTGAGGCATAACTGTTATACAAAAAACTGCATATAGTTAATGGACACAATTTGGTGAGTTTGGACATATACTTGTGTTGCTATCATCACAATCAGGATAATAATCATATCCATTACCTCCAAACGTGTGTGTCCCTTTGTTGTTTTAATTTTGTGTGCGTGTGCATGCGTGCTAAGAACATTTAACACGAGCTCACCTTCTTAACACGCTTTTATGTGCACAAAACCTGTGAACCACAGCAGTGTGCTGTGAGCAGCAGATTGTGGGACTTACTCATCTCGTTATAACTTACTTCATACTCATCAAATCACCACTCCAGATCTGGTGCAGTGGTAGAGTTCTGGACCCACAACCCAGAGGTTGATGGACTATTTTTTAGGGAGAAAAAACTGGCTTAGAGAGGATGAGTGACTTGCTCAAAGTCATAAAGTTATTCACTGGCAGAGCTAGGACTAGAACTTAGAACTTTCAGCTTTACATTCAGTGATTTTTGGACTAAATTGTGCTCTACTATTTGTGACTAAATACTATGTTTTACAGAATCATGTTATGACAAATTTCAAACTGAATGCGTCCATGAAAATGTATCATCTACTTTCCTTAAGCCTGTGGAGTCTCATATTCTTAACTTTAGCTGAACCTTCCACAGTAGAAACCTCTGCATCACCTTGGACTCCTCCCCGCCATCATCCTCCCTAATCAAGTCAGGGAGCAAATTCTGTCCTCTCTACTTCAACCTCTCTTAAATCTCACTTCTGCTCTCCATTCCTGTTACTACTGTCTCACTTCAGCCTCATACCATCTTTCTAGAAGTCATTCATGTCTCTAATTCTTGAGGTTCAGAGATATAGTATACAGTCACCAATCTAAAAAAAAAATTATAGTCCATTGTGGGAAACAGAAAAAAAAGTTACAACACAGTGCAGCAATGGATGTCAGTGGTAGTACATAGTAGAGTGGTGATTATTCCACCCTGGGATGTCAGGTTAGGATTCCCAGAAGAAGGGACATCAGATGAATACTGAAGGATGAATGGAAGCCAGATGGAAGCCAGTGGCAGAGGTGGGCTCCCAGGCAAAGGATGCACTGAAGGCCCAGAGTGAGAGAGGGAAGGCACCCTTAGTGAACTAAAGGGAGTTTGGAGTGGCTGGGACCTCATGTGTTGTGAGAAATATGGCTAGAGAGTTAAGTTGGGGCCATCCACAAAGAGATTTATATTAACTTACCTCAGGGAACTTTAAAATTGTTTTTTTTAAATTTCATCTTTAAACATTTCAGGACATATCTCTAAAAGAATAAGGGTGCACACTCTCTTTTTTTTCTAACATAACCAGAATACTATTATAATATCTTAAAGTATTAACAATTCCTCAGTATAAAATATGCAGGCACTATCAAATTTAAAATTGTATCAGAAGTGTAATAAATGTTCTTTGAGCTTGTTTATTAGAACTCAACTCTAAACATCACCCACATATTGAGACTGGCTCCTATCTTTTCTGCTTTGCAGGTTAGAAAATTAAGGTATGTAACTCTTCACAGTCACATTTCTGGTGACAGGCTGTCTGATTCCAGGACAGCGTCCATGATCAGAGCCCTAGAAGGTGGTTCCACAATGGAAAAAAGCCAGAGTAGGATGACCTAACATGGAAAGTACTCAGGTCAGGAAGGCAAAGGTGGTCCATCCTCACGCTTTATACCATCAACCTGTCATCTATTTTTTTTATTTACACTGTTGGAATTTCAGAGTTGGATGTACCTTAGAAATCACATAGTCTAACTCATCATTTTAAAAAATGGGGGGGAAAAAAGACTGACAGAGAAAGGAACTGACTGGGTCTAAGTTACCCAGCTCCTAAGAGCAGAAGAGAAGACTAGGAGACCAGAGTACAAATTCTCTCACTCCAGGACAAGATTACAAGTCTCCAATCTCCTCTCTCCATTTTTTTCCCTTACAGTTTATTTGGTGAGCAATGGGGTTGTTTTATCATTTGTTCCAGCTTGGACTTGCTGACTTCATCCCTGTGGTATAGTGTAACATGTTCTTTTAAAATGGAACTTTTAAAATGTGAAAAAATGGGTATACCATTATGAAGGAGTAAACTTTTTTTATTATTTTCATAACATTTAGATATTAAAACATGATATACTGTAAAACTTCTTTTTAAGTGAGATTAATTTACCTAGCTCTCAATTATTTTTGGCTTAATTAAAATGTCAATTTTATCACAAAATAAATGATTGAAAATCATTCTTATTGAAAAAAGAAGAAAAAAATACTTGCAAGATTCTTAGTATATGGCTCTTTTGGTTTTATTATAAGAGAATGCAAATGCCCTGTACAAACACTTGCTGGAAACCATAGCTATCTGTATACAATTCATTCATTACCTTTTCTGCACAGCAATGCATTATCTAGAGTCTCCTAGAGACTGAGGAGATTTATACCTTGTATTCTCTCCCTTCATGTCAGAACTGTGCAAAAATCAGTAGATTTCTTGTATTACTAAATTTCATTGCTCTGCCTAAATCTATGAAGTTAAGAATGGTGTAAATATGCTTTAGGTGGCTTTAACCAACCTTTTATCATAATGTATTCACTGGGACGCCAGTAAATAACAGGTTTTTAAAGTTATAGTTTTAAATATCAATAACATCAGTTTCATGGGGTTATGTGAAAAATATAAGGGAAATGATCATTAATTCATAACACCTTTTCTACACTTACTAGTTGCCTGAATATCAATTCTTTGGGAGACAGATTTGTCTTTCGTATCATTGTATTTCCTGCATAGAAGCAGCCCAGCAGAAGTCCTACTGGATGCTCGGCAAATGCCTGCTGAATTTACACAAACAACTGAATTTAAAGCCCTATACGACCATGAGAGACCTCGGCCTTAATACTGATTAATTTATTCTCGAAATATTTATTTTCACTTATTGTGCGTCAGGCATTGTGCTGGGCCCTGGATGATAACTCAGAGCCACGTCCTTTTAATAATTGTTTAGATTACCTAGCACTGAATTCTGTGTAACCTTTAAGCCTTAAGACCAGAGAAGTGGGTAGTAGCCAAGATAAACTCATGGAAAGAGAGTCACTAGGGAATTTTACTAAAGGAAGAAGGGGAGATATTTTTTGTAGAAGCCGAGAATCATGCGGTCTTCAGGGGAACGCCCAGGTTCACCCTTGTGTTCCCAGCTCCTGGCAGAGCACCTGGCACATGTCAGCTGCTCAGTGACAAACGTGGGTAACCAACAGTAACAACAGCCAGCGTCTACAAGGCGCTTCCTCTGAGGTAGGCAGGTCCTGTTCTAAGCGCTTTACTTGCATGATTTTATGGATTTCAACTTAAAGAAGAGTATTAACTCTGGAGCCAGACTTCCTGGACTCAAATCTGGCCTGTGACACTTATTAACTGTGCAATATTGGGGGAAATTACCTACTTTCTGTGTGCCTTAGTTTTCTCAAACATAAAAAGAAGGTAATCTTAGTACTTACCTGATAAAATGGTTGTGAGGAATACATGAATTAGGATTGGCTAAGCCCTTAGAACAGCTTCTGCACATGGCAAGAGCTATTTAAGTAGCAGCTATTATTAGCTCATTTGACCTTAGCTCATCACAACCTTGTGAGGTAGGTACTAATTATCGCACCTCCATCCTAGAAATGAGGACCCTGAGCAACTCGCAGAGGCAAGGTCCCCAAGCTCATGCCCCTAACGTGTGGCTGAGCGCCTGGGTCTGTGCTCCCACACTTCCTGCTAGAAGCTCCCTCTTACAGGGCCCCAGCCCCCGACGTTTCACAGGCAGTCTCCCAGCAGCAGAAGGATGACCTAACGTTTGCGTTTTTTATAGCATCACACAGCAAAGTATCAGAACAAGCAGCTTGGTAGGTTACTATCTTAGTGGAAAATATAGAAGGAAAAAGAAGGGAGTGAGAGGAAAGATTTTTTTTCCACCTTTGTCTTCAAAGACTTCAGACCTGCCTGGAAAAATGGAGCTCATTATTTTCCATACCTTGTTCAATTCTTTTTCATGATTTGGTTGATCTGAGGTCACTGAAAACAGCTCTTTCCTTTTTTTTTCTGGTTCTTTAATAGAAGGTGAATAAGATGATTCAAGTCTACAAATTAAAACGGGTGAAAACTAAGTTTAACTTGTTAAACTGTTACAATTATAATGTTAATTGAGGCCACTGTAGGTTGCAGAGTTAGATTATTAGTCTGTTGGAAACATTTCTAGTTACAGGAATGGCAAGTTCTAATACATTCAGACCCCGTAAGTATTTACATATTTAACTGAGTGAAAATGGTTTTAGCAAAAAAATAAAAGGTAGTAATTAATATGGAATTTCTATTGTACATTATAAGTTGGCTGAATACTGGATTTGCATATATAGATAAAATTTTTGGATTAAGAAGAAAAGACTGTTTCTTATAATAAAACAGCTTAGAAATCCATTTTAAAAAAGGAAATACACCCGACTTACTCCTACACTGTGGAAAGGAACTATGTCAGGAGATGTCAGAGGGGAGTAACTACTCCATAAAAGTGATCCAAAATGATTAAATCTGACAGTCTACCCCAAGAGAGCTCAAATACATCTATTCTTTGGCTGCTCAATTTATAAAATGGAATTGCAACCACATAAGGACACTAGAGAGGAAAATCAGAGACTAGTAAATGTACTATTTCCACAGCAAGTTTGGAGAACTATAAACAAGGTAATGTTCACTTCCACATCAGGGAAGCTGGTAAAAATTTTTAAAAATCATTAAAACAGAAAAATAAGGATAACCAGACAAGAAAAGCAGTACGCTTTCCACTACTGCTGGACTAGCCTAGTAGAGACTGTAAGTGAACATAATTTTAATTTCCAATGAACTTCTTTAAAAGTTCCACAAATCAAAAACTTAAACCACACAAACAAAACAAAATCTATGTAATGACAGAGAAATAACTAACATAAAGATTGAAAATAACTTGACTGAAGTAATTGAAAACTTGTACCTTTTAAAGATATAAATTAATAGTGATATCCCTGAGGTACATGTGTCTGGACTGGATTGCTTTTTTCTGATTATCAAATATATATGTTAACTGTAGAAAACAGAGTTCATCAGAGTACATACTGCTATAATGTTATCATCTAGGAAAAACCATTGTTAGCATTTTTGTGCATACTAACTGCCTTTTTTGCCTATGCATATGTGTATAAAAACATATATGCACTGTACATTATTTTACAGTACATTAGGGTGTACTGTACACATTATTTTTCAGTCCCTTTTTATTTCCCACTCAATAATATATGGTGAGCATTTTATCCAATATTCTCCTAAAACATTATTTTGGGATCAATCTTAAATTTTTCTTATTTGCTATGATTTTGAAACAGTGAAAAATGAAATTTCCTATTTTTCAATTCTTCCTAAGGAATTCAGGGAGTGAAATGTAGAACCAAATGGTAAAAACTTCATGATGATCTTATAAATTTCAGTGAATTAAAGGAACAAATGTCAAACTTTAATGTGGACAAGTTCAAGAAAAAAACAATAATCACGATAATATAAAGATATAAAGGAACTATCATTTGTCACGTAGGAAAGGAGTGTGGGAATCATTTTCACTAACTCTCAGAACACAGCAGCCCAAGGTGCTTCTATAAGTAAAGGAAAAAAGCCAACAAAATCTTAGGATTATTGAGAACAATTCCGAAAATGAATGAAAACATTGAAGTGCTACTATTATAGAACTATTGTGTGTCTACATCCTGTAGCCTGGTCTGCTTCACTTTAATACAACTGCAAAGAAGAAACAAGAGTCCAAGTGAAAAAAAAAATCAAAACAATAAAGAAGATAGGACCACTTTCGTGTAAGAACAAACCAAAATGATTAAAAACAGTCAGTGGGAAAGATGAGGGCTGAGAAGATTATGTCCAAAATCTAAAATACAATGGAAGCTGTGAAAAGTTAAATATCTACCTTTTTACCAAATCTCATTATGGTAGAACTAAAGATTACCCTCCAAACGAGAAAGATGTAGTCTGGAGACCAAAATATATACCAACCTTAAATAGAAGATAGCAAGCAGGCATAATAGAAGAACTGTATCAGCCAAATACATGAATAACTATGAGATTTTAGATTGAATCATGCATTGAAGGGAAGTTGGCAATGTCTGGAATTCAGCACTGGCCCTTGTGAGACAGCTCCAGAGAAAGTACCTTCAATGTTCTTCACAAACCAGAGTTAGACGTGGGTTGCATGGTTTGCTCTTCTAGGAAATTTTTTATGGTTTCAGCCATATATGTCCTTTGTGTGAAGACATTTCTCACCAACTCACCAGACTGGAACAGTGCCTTGCATATAATATACTTCCAATGGATTTATAGCTTGCATGTGGAGCACTCAATGATGCTGACTGGCTCATAGGCATTCTAGCATCCTTGGTAAGACATACAATAGATCACTTTAAGGGATCTTAACTTGCCATTTGTTGTTAAGTGCTGACCTCAAAGAAATACTAGCAGGTCCCACATCTTTGAAGAAATAATTATTGCCTTTAAAACAATGTAATCATCTTTCAATAAAATATCCCTCACCATTTGGCTATTCAGTTTTAAAAATCTTATCATTCATCTGGCATTAGCCTTCAGATATGAGAAGGGTTCAAGTTCTAATAAGAATTAGAACATCAGTGAATGGTTAGAATAGTCACAAACACTTAATAATCCTCAGCAGTCCCATTTCCTTTGTGGTTACGGAGTACATGATATCTGATTTTAAAAAAGGAAAAAAAAATCTGTTCTCACAAATTCCTTAATGGAACTGACAAGGTGGTTAAGGGTAAAAGCCAAAATAAGTACATTTATGACTGAAAAGTTAATAACAGACTTAAGGCCATTAAAATAAAAACATTTGAAAACTATGGAATAAATATTACCAACATATATAATACTATTGTTTTTACAATATCCTGAAGAATAAAAGTTCTAAGAAAATTTCTGACTTAAGTGTAACACCTAAGTATCCACAAATCAGAACACAATATAATTTTCTAGGCATGTAAAGATACTGATTTGGAAGATAAAATAATCACTAGCTTTATTTTTAATATCTAATATTGTCTAATAATTAACAGCATGTTAATATAAAGCGGACTTTTAATTCTAGTTTCAAATATAAAACCTAAAATATTCAAACATCATATTTTGAACAGTTTTCCTCATGCTGCTGAATATAAAAAATATACCTTTTTTTATTTTCTTGAGCACTTTGGCTGTCTCCTATTTGTAATAATTCTCTGTGCAACTGCAATCGTTCCATTTCTATGATTCTCAGGAGATCATCACGTGACTGTAACTCACTTTTCACCTCTGAGAGTCCTGCTTCCATGGCCTAAATAAAAACATCAAAAGTTGTCAGTGCTGACATTTGGGTATCATGATGTAGAACACATTTACGAGTATTTAACAGTTACGAACCGGCCTAATTTCAAATGAACTGATATTTAGTCCTTCATTGGCTCTGTCTTACAGAATTTCATTCCCTCGTTTGCTTATTCAACGAATATTTACTGAGAACATTTGATAAGTGATAAAACAAAGAATCATACCAAAATGGCCATACTGTATGTAAAGCTGAAAGAGGGAAACATAAACGTATGAATAAAATATCAATGCATACAATTTGGTTTAATGCAAATAATTCCTAATTCAAATAAGATAACAGTCAAGAAAGATCTAATTTCAAAGCTGGCAACAGAGTGTATTATAAACCATGGATTATGGTTCCAGAATCGCCCAAAAGAAGACCTACTTTAGCTGGTAACTAGAAACACCAGCAACCCTCTGAGTGCAGTGTTTTATCTGGTTAATAGAAGAGACTTGAACAAGTTTAGAAGCTGCAGAGAAGGATCCAGTTGGGAGAGAGCAGGGGTACTACTAATGGGGTCAAGTTCCTGGGGAGGTGGGTGGGATGGGTCCCGAAGCACGAGTGGAAGAACTGCCTAAAGCAAAAGAGAGTTCCTCCGCTCTCGCAGTAGGAAAGGAAGAAGAAAGATGAAATGTAGACACGGATATGCATTTGGGGACAGGGAGGTAAGAGAGGGCTACCTGTTGGCTTCTATCTTCCTTGTGAAGTAAAAAGGCAACATCGGCAGAAGGAGAGGTAGAGGTGGGGGTGTGGGAGGGGTTTTTTGAGGGCAGAGGAGGTTTGAAATGGCCTGCAATGAGAATGGGAGAGTTAGGTGGTTGGAGCAACACAGCAGGATTCCTGGCAGTGTTGAGACTCATTTGAGCTTTGTGACCATCACCTGTTGAGTGAACCTCTCCAGCAATGCTTGGCTGTTCTCTAGGAGAGAGGAATGGCAAGAGTCCTTCCTTGTCATCAGGCCTCTTCCACTCAGTTATACAGAGAAACTAGTATTTATTAAGTGTGCCTCACCCAGGCTATCAAATCCATCACCATTTTGATAGATGAGAAAACTGAGGGCCAGGATTGGTCCGAAGTTACACAGCTCATAGGTGGCAGATTTGGGAATGGAAAAATTCAGATCTCCTGTCTGCTAGTCCAGGCAGAACATTCAAGATACAAAAATAATTTGTTTCATGCAAAGCAAGTGAAGCAGACCTGTAGCTTATTGGTAAAGACTGGGCAGGGTGTTCTGAGGGCAAGAGGTTCCACTGCTAATAAAGGCTGTAAAAAAAACACTAGAGATATTTTAAAAAATCATTTGTTCAATAACTCTTTATACATCTGTAACAGATTTACTCAAATATAATCCACAAATCATAAAATTTACCCATTTAAAGTGTACAATTTAGTGGATTTTAGTATATTTACAAAGTTGTGCAAGCATCACCATTAATTCCAGAACATTTCCATCACTCCCAAAATAACGCAATGACCACTAGCAGCCACTACTCACTTTCCCTCCCCAGTCCCCTGGCAACCACTAATGTATGTTCTGTTTCAATGGAATTACCTATTCTGGACAATTCATACAAATGGAATTACGTAATATATGGCCTTTAGTGACTGCTTTCTTTCTCTTGGCATAATGCTTTCAAGGTTCATCCATGTTGTAGCATGTATCAGTACTTCATTTTTTTTATTGATGAATAATATTTATTTGTATAGAAATATCACATTTTGTTTGTTTATTTATTCAACCACTGATGGACATTTGGGTATCTCTTTTTTGGTATATTATGTATGATGCTGCTATGAAATTCACATATAAGCTTTTATGTGGACATGTGTTTTCTTATTAATTAATTCTTATCCAAAAATTCACAGCTTAGAATTGTAATTGTGCAGATAGTATAGGACATATGCGTTCCCAGATAAACATTTTTTTTACCAAAGCCTTAAATATAGTACATTATTTGCCAGGAGACCTAGAGATGGGTTCAGTGAAGCACTTAGCTGCAACACTTAAGCCTCAAAAATTCCTGGCTACCTTGGAAATAAGTATGAAAACATATTCAAATAGGTGATTTAATACTTTTTAAAATAATGTCCCTGTTTCAAACCCTGGAGATTTTTCAGATGAGGTTAAAATTCCAAAAGAAACAAGCATACAAAAAATGTGAAACAATAGATTAGCAAGTAGAAAGACAAATTAACTTGATGTGAATGTCATCCACTACTTTGCCCAACTGAAGAAGGCACAATCTGGGCTCCTGCTTTTGCACATTTGCCACGAGGGAGCAATCTAACAGCAAGCTGCTTGTGGAGGAGCAGACCTGCCTTCACTTGGGGGGAGGGGCACAAAAGGGCTCCAGCTCCAGCCAATGAAATGTGGCGTCAACATTGGCTAGACTTCACCCAAACTCTGTAAAATGTGATAATAATAGTCTATTTATGTACTGTTATTAGAAAGTAACACCTTAAACAGTGACATTTGGAGATCTCATTAAGGGGAAAAAAAGCTTATTTGTGATCTAGCTACACAGGTAAGAGAATCTGTGTTCAAATTGAAACTTTTTATACTATAAATCAATAATAATGATTTGACACATTTTTCTAACATGAGGGAATATGCAAAAGATTTTAATTATAATTGACAGCATTATATAAATTGACTACAAAAGTACAAGAAAAGCAGCTTTGTTGATGTTGGTAAATTGAGGTTTTTTTGACTTATGCAATATCCTTTTGAAACCAATGTTAATACTGAGTTGACATGAGAATAAGTGAATTTATTTAACTTAGATGTAGTCTGAAAATTGGCATGCTTTTGCATAAAAGTCAAACCAATTATTTGTCCATGTGGATGCAAAATATTCAGGGATATGATTCTCAGGTACTTGATTCAGTTACTGGAACACTTTCAATTTTGTTTGGAACAACCTGAGCATGTAAATCTACTTTTTTAACTGTAAATTTTATGAAATCTAAATACAGATCAGGTATTTCCCGTGAATACTTAGCATCCAAATTGAGATATGTTGTAAGTGTAACATAGATACCAGATTCTGAAGACTTAGTATGAAAAGAAATGTAAAATAACCCATTAATAATTTTTTACATTGATTCTATGCTGAAATGATAACGCTTTGGATATCTGCTGTGTCGAATAAAATATACTAGTATCATGTATTGATTTCACCCATTTCTTACTATTTCTTTTAATACAGCTACTAGAAAAATTTAAGTTGTATTTGTGTCTTGCATTACATTTCTATTGGACAGTGTTGCTCCAGTACCTTAATGATTCATTAACAAGCACCCCCAAAAAGTCTTTTTTTTCTGTCATAGTTATTAGAAAAAAATACAGAACAGTTTATTTCTGCAATTAACTTCCAATGGGGAATATTGCATATTTCCAAAATGTGAGTGTAATGCAGCACAGGAAATAAATATATGCAACAGAATTAATATGTATACTGACACATTTCAAGGTTGTAGAAAGACAAGTGAGAAGACGGAATTCTTGTGAAAATTCAGATGCAGCTGGCATCAAAGTGTGTTGTAAACTAAACAGAATTTTATATACAGTAAGTGACAGTAATTCAAATTGAAATGGTTGTCTTTTTAAATTCATGTGCAAGATGTGGAACAGTATCACTTGACAGTTTCACAAAAAGAGAAGAGAAACTTCTTTCTAAATATATGCACTGGTTACAGTGATTATTCACCTCTAATTATTCCCATTTGGTAAAATATAAATTTTGTAAAACAAGTTTAAGGCCCATCTGTTTAGTTTAAAATTTGCCTGATGGTTTGAGAGAAGCAGTGATTTTTAAACTTTCAAATCAGCTATCAAAAAGTAAATAATTTATATCTTTTCACTTAGGACTTATTCTAAAGCAAAAGAATGAAACACAAGTAAAATTTGGAAATAAAACAGGGAAAAGGCCAAACAAAAGCATTATTTCAGTATTCGTTTTCTAGATGCATCAAAATTAATTAGTGTTTTCCTGGGAGTAGAAATCTTATCTTTAGAAAACTTGAAGTTTTTGAAGGAAATTACTTCTCAAAAATCTTTTTCATTAGAACTATAACAAATTTTTGTGTGTAAAACATACTCCAGAATAATTTGATTTGTTTTTTATACATTCAATTCCTTTGTAAAGTACAAAATGGAGATTCTTAGTTTAAATTTACTAGATCCAAGGATAATTATTTTCTTAAATGAAACAAAAATTTGTAAAAATAACTTCAGTAAACTTTCTTATAGAAATTGGTGGATAATCAATCAACCAATCAATAGCAGTGACATCAAAATGTATCATTAACTCTGGAAAACACCACAAAGTAGAGATAGAGAACTCCTGGTGAAGAAAATGAGAAAAACAATATTTCAAAATTTAAAGCAAGGTCTCTCAAGCTCAGCACTACATACATTATGGTCTGGATCATTCTTTTGCTGTGGGGATCGCCTTGTGCACTGTGAGATGTTTAGCAGCATCCCTGACCTCTACCCACTAAATGTCAGCAGCACCCCTCTCCTCTGTAGTGACAACCAAGAATGTGTCCAGGCATTGCCAGGTATCATCTGGGTAGGGAGAAAAATCACCCAAGTAGAGACTTAAAGGAAAGTCAGAGCAACTGGGCAATTAATATAGTTATTTTATAGACTCTAGTATAAATATCAATAAAAATATTTTATATTTATATGGACTTTTGTGAATAGCTGGGCTTTTATTCTGTTAGTGTATATATATATATATATTTGTTAGTATATATTCAGGAACATAATTCATTATTAAGTTCGTTAACATATATACATAAGGAAAAGTCAAGGTGGGTAACATGGACCTTCCTAACTCATGCTACCTACATGATCAACGTGTACCCCAGACAACCCAGAAAGCCTTCTCAGGGGTGCACATAAGCCCCTGGAAATTTGCAGAGATCCTGGGTGAGGGATGAGTCACACCCTGCTGGACTTGTGTGGAACGGGAAGTCAATTAAATGATATTGCTAAAGGACAGGGTGGCCTTGGCCATCAGGTGGTTTGTGTCCTCAGACTTCCAGCTAAGCTTTCACTCTCAGGCTGCACTTTCTTCTTCTTGTCAATACCATCGCGCCCGTCCCAGTGTGATAGGTGTGAGCAACACAGGCTGACGGCCTTTACTTGCAGAGAGGGTAGGGAGTGTAATCGGAACTGGGAATGTTAGTTTATTCATGTTTCTCAAGGTACACTCTTCCTCTATTTGCAACATTCTTTTTAAAGTAAGATTCTCCAATGTAGTTCCTGGAAAAGTAGAAAAGATAAAGTTCTGAGAAGGAGAAAGGTGGGGTTGGTCAAGGAAAACGTTACAGAGAAAGTGAGTCATGCTGCCATGAAGGGAGAACAGAGGCTCCTTCCGGAATACAGGGCATGAACAGTTGATTCCTATTTCACAAGCGAGCCGAGAACCAAAAGCTGAACCTCAGACTACAAAAGAGATGTTCCTGGGCTGTAATAAGTCCAAACAGAACTCCTTCAGGGGAGAGTAGGAGGAACTGGGGTTAGCAAAGAACCTGGACCTCAGTGAAGGGTAGAACCTGGTTTTATAACTAGCCTTACTGGTGAAATATGCTTCAGGCAAACTAAAGATAATAGAAAAAAAAAAGGTCTGAGCAGAAAATAGATTTCTAGGAACTAGAACCAAAAAGACCTCAAGAAGAGACAAAGAGAATTCCTTAAGTCTGAGTAACAGGAAAACTAGGGGATAATATTCAGAAAGTACCCAGAGAGACTATCTCCTTATTTATTGACTGTGATTCTGGTGCAGGCTCCAGAAGTACAAAGACAGGTGCAAAATGTAAAATTAAATCGTCTCTAAATCAGGCCCAAAGGCACCACCAGTTGGCCCCTACCCAGGGAGATGGAGGGGATGCAGCCCCGGACACGGAGAGAACCAGCAGCCCTGCAGACCCAGCTCCACCAGGGACTGGCGACTACACACTAGAAACCACTTGGACAAGCTCTAGAGCAGAGGAGGAAGGACTAAGCTCATTTATATTCTAGAGAAGCCAGAGAAAACATCATCTGTACCTTTTCTATTTCTAGAAAATGGATGACTTTCTCAGTGTTTAGTATTTGTGGCTTATCTTGGTTTGTTTACATCTGCTTTCTAATCTGTATTAGAGTAACACCCCCTCCCCAAACAAAGCTGGAGTTTGGGAAAGGAGCTGTACTTCGCTTAGAAATGCCACAAAATAGGAGGAGCTGGGAGCCTGTGTTCTGCCCCCTTGTCAACTTGGGGAAAGGGGATCCCAGAAGTTAGATGCTGGCAGAGAAAGAAGTGAAAGAACTGGCCCCATATGTGACCGCACATACCACATGGCAGGATGAGGGAAGGATAGGTGGCCCCACACCAAGAAGTGACCCTGGGAGTTTTAGTGGCGTAAGATCCTGAGGTGGAACGTCTTACAGAAGAGGGAGTCTGCAGACAGTGACCAGGAAAGATGACCTTGCCTGGGGAGGGAATAGAGCAGGACCAAGAAATGGGCCAATCGACACAGAGGAATTGGTAGAAAGAGGCTGAATGTTTGCAGGTGGGAGACAAGACCTAGAACAGGAGAGAAAACCATAGAATTTGAATTTCAAGTAACTGGGATAGCCATGAGTAAGAAATACAAATTTTGTGAAGAAATTGGTAGTGATCAATTTTGATGAATGCTGCATAAAAAAAAAGATTTTTGAGTTAAGAAAAAAATTAATGCTTGGAAAAATGAATGATCATATCTATCAAAGTGGAAGTTATGTAAAAATATGAAACTCTAGGCTATTGTTTGGTAAACAATTAAGATAAAGTTAATTAGCAATTATGACAAGGTTAATTAACAGGGAGTGGCATGAGGGTCACTCCCTGTTAATTAACCTTGAGAGACTGAATAGTGGGGACGGAGTGTGTTGTGTGGCTAAAGGGCCATGCTTTTTAGGAATAGAGGTCTGTGGCAGACTGTTACGTTGCACTGTAATGTATTATTATTAAGTCACTGCAGAATCCGAGTGCATCTAGTGAGGTAAAGTACCTATAGGATTACTGAATTTACTCAGCAAGTGAGATTACAGATTAAGAGAAAATCTGAGCTGAATTTACACATGTAATAAAAAAATTAGCTTTCTAATCCATATACCTGTTGAGTCATTGCTTACACAACTCATGGGCAATATCAGTTGAAAAATAAACTTTTCACCTGGCACTGTCTTTGGTACATTTTCAGTTCTTGTAAGAGCTTCTGATTTTCATCTTGTAACTTATTCCTGCTTAATGCTATTTCACTCACAGCTGATTTTAATTTTTCAATAATGAATTCATCTCTTTCACTGGTCTCACAACTGGGATCTGGTTCGCATATCAACCGAGGAATTTCAGAGCCACTGTCTTCCATGCCCTGTTTTTTACCATTTAGTTGAGTTTGGTAACTTTGTGCCTGTTTCTGAGAAATATAAAAATTGTGTCAGTTAAGTGGGGAATATCGTATTTAAGTTTACATAAAGTTAAAGAATGATAGAAAAGGATTAAGAAAAACATCTTTATTATTATCTATATTACTAGATAATGAAACTTAATCCTTCATAATTCAGTCTTGTGTTTATTCTAAAACCTGAATTTCAGATGGCATAAAGAGAAAATATATTTGCATAACCTCAGAGCAAAGATGTAAAGTAGGGTAGACGACTTTGGGTAGAGAATTCTTATTTAGCAAAAAAACAAAATATAAACGATATAAGAAGGAGAAAAAAATATGGATTCAAATACACAATAGTTGAAAATGTCTCTATGACCAACAATAAACAAAATAAAACAAAAAACAACTGGATTGTAGAAAAAAGTTGTCAACCCATGTAACAAAGGTAATTTCTGATGTACAAAAACCTCTACACATGAATAAGAAAAAGACAACACAAAAGAAAAGTGGGCAAAGTTTATGCACAGGCTAAGAAACATATGAAGAGATGCTCAACCTTACAAGTAGTCAGAGAAATGCAAAGCAAACCAAGCCAACATTACTATTAGTCCATCAAGTTGGTAAAAATCAAAGGACTGATACTTCATGCTGGCAACAGTATGGGCAGTCTTGTTGTCTGTTCATGAATTGTAAATTGCTATCATCTTTCAGAAAGTAATCTGCTAACAGTTATTAAAAATTTGAATGAACATACCCTTTGGCTCGTCACTCATTCCTAGGACTTTTATGTAACGAAAGGAAAATATTAGTCTTTAAAGATGTATATACATGGATATTGTTACAGTATGATAATAGCAGAAAACTAGGAAACAACCTGAATGTTCATTAATAAGGAAATAATTGAAAGAATCATAGTACATCTACTATATACCATGGTATATGTGATGCATAGTTGCTATATACAATGAAATATTATAATGAAGTAGACATTTATACAGTGACTTGAAAAGCTATCCATGGCTTATTAAGTAAAAAAGCAAAATTAAAAATACCACAAAACACATATTTACATGTTTCTATAAACAAAAAAAAGTATGTGGAGATAAATACCTAATTGTTAACAGTGTTTATGTTAAATGGATAACAATGGAATAGGGGATGAAGCTATCAATTTTACATTAGATTATTTTGTATTACTGAATTCAGGGAACGTGTATAACATATAATTTAAGTAACTTAAAGAATGAAAAATAAGTATATATCAAAAAAAGTAAAAAAAACCCCAAAAAACCAAAAAAACTAGTTTCTTACCAGCTTTAATAAAAATTCCGAGTTCCTTAGGTAAGTCTTTAAGGCTTATTCCAATCTCTGTCCAACTCAGCAGCCTTGCCGTCTACTGCCCCTCCCCGCCTCCCACATGCACTCGCAGCCAACTGGCCCACTTGCCATTCTCTGAATTTGCCTTTTGCTCTCTTGCCCCACTGACTTTGCTCACATTATTTTCACTACCTGGGATACCTTCTCTCTTGTCTCAAAATATATCCTTTTTCCAAGGTCCAGGCCCACTGGAGGATGTTTTCTGACTCTCTCAGTCCAAATTTTTCTCTTACCCCTTTGACCTCTAAAAGAATTTGGAGCCTTTCCATTCACTTGTCATTAATTATCTGTAACTGGTACATGTATTATCTCTGTGTCTAGAGTATAAGGCTCTAGAGGGCAGGGACCAAGCAATCTTAGACTTTCTCAGTGACCTGCCGACAGGCCTGCAAAAACATGTTATCTAATGACATAATAACAATGGACACTTTTAATAGCACCATCTTCTGAGATGACTAAAGTCACCACTACAGATATTTCATGCACTGGTACCTTTACCCAGTGTTGGACCCACTCTGGTTATTCCCTTAGGTGGTATTTCTATGTGTAAAAAGATTACATGCTGAATGGTAAAGAGAGAAATAGTATTTAACCTCTAGTTTCTTCTAATTTAGAGGATAATATTAGATAATGTACCTGAAATTGATTACACTTCTCAGATAATAATTTTTGTTGAGCATCTAAAGAAACCAGATGAGTCTGATACAGTATCTCTTGCTTGTCCCATTCTCTTGACTTTGCTCTAAATTCCTTTAAGAGTGGAGGGACAAACATAAATTGAAGAAAATTACTCATTTTAAAGCACAACGAACAGGACTTCTTTCATTTGTACATCTTCATTCCAAGAAAAAAAAGTAAATTCATTCTTTTCCCCATTGGGAAAACAAAAAAAGTATCAAATCACTCATCTTAGATTTACTACTAGATTTATCTTCCAATTTTTGCTAGAAAAGTATGGAATTTAATCCTGTTTTTTTTAAATTAAGCATTTTATTTGTTAAAAATGTAAAAATTTCTCTTGTAACCGATGTGGATCACTAATAAGGAAGTTTCAAACATTTTTTTTTTGCATCAACCAGTACTTTCTTTGTATTTCCTGAGCTGACACCAGAAGTTGTTTTCCTTTTTTCATTCTCTACACTTAGTCACCAAACCTGTTCCCTTGTTTTTTAGGCGGTGGGGCTTGGATTGATTTAGTGACTCCGTCCCCTGTGGCTTTCAAAGCTACTGTCCCAGGTGAAGCCAAGATCCACCTGTTCTTGAGAACAACCATCTGAGGCCTCCCTCAGGCAGCACCACCTGGGCTAACCTGGGGAAGAAGTGGTAGAACTACTTGCTACAGCATGCTCAGCTCTTCAAATTTCACGCTCAAGTAGTGTCTTCATGGAGTACGTTATCTGTTCACAACTCTACAAGAGGGAAGGATATGGCTTTGAGAATGCCAAAGAAAACGGCACTGCTTCTCCATTTTGCCTAGGGCTGGCTATTATGTCTTTCTGTTCAGGCTGTAAGAATTGAGGGGTAAGGACTATGTATTTGATTACTTTTTTGGTATTCTCACAGTGCCTGATAAAATGCCAGGCATCACTTACATTCCCTGAGTGTACAAACGAAAGCATGGTGTTAACATTTCCTAGAATTTAAATACTTCTCACTAAGTTTTGCAAAGAAAACAACGTGGTTGGAAACAAACTCTAGAGCTACTAAGTCCATGATGACGTATTACTGAATACAGATACATGGCATGAATGTATTGATGTTTCCAATCATCAGTTCAGGAAGATAGGCATCTGGTCCACCAGGTACTGTGGTGGGAAGACAATGTGGAAATACCTCATGATTAAAAGAAAGATTTGAAAGAAAATAAAAAAGGAGTGTATAACAAAGTAGGGAATGTACATGTAAACAAATTTTACAGCACAAGTACAGTAATAGTGCCACAAAAAAGCCATGCAGAGGTTGGCATGATTATCTCAGCCACCTCTAATAACACATCAGATTGGAAAATTGTTCTGGCCAGAGTGATGGGTGTCGTTCTGAAGATGGCAAAATGACTGGGTCGGCTATGCTGGAAAATAAATATAGGAATTTAGAGAATGAAAGCTACATCTTGCTTAAAATGAGAACACGGCATTTCATATTTCCATAGAGAAATGATTTTAAAGAATATTTGGGGAAATTATCACTTTATAAATCCACAAGTCTCAAAATAATCAGTGAGGGAAGGTTATAAATTAGAAGGGTTTTACAGTAATTAAAAATGACCTCAAATTGAGTGGTGGTAATAAAATTAAAGAAATACAGATAGACCCTCTTTTAAATATATAATAGTATCTTGATAAATAGACTATATTCATCAAGATAAAGGAAGACAGTTCACTTAAAGTTATTGACTTTGATTCTGACATTCAACACTTTAAAATTAGGTACATGAAAACAGGATCTTCAGTAATAGTGACGAATTTACAAAACTAGGCTCTAATAAAAATAGGTAACATTTCAAATCAATACAAAGTAGATTAAAAAATTGCTGCTCACTTTTAACTCGCAGTCTTTGGAGTCAGAAGTCAAAATGTGGGCAAGGTTGATTTGTCCAGTTCATATCTTTCATTAATACTAATATTTATCATCATTGACCCAAAACTCTCAATCTTGAAAATAAATATTTCCCAGCATGCTTTAGGAGAAGGCAGAAGTATTAGCCTCAATTCCTTACAAATTCTACAACAGGTACAAACAGGCCAAGAATAAGACCAAACAAGGCTAAAAATGGGTGCCACGGACATATCAGCTGGTGCTTATAATAGTCCTGGCTCCACTAGTCTTAGAGATGTATTGGTTTTAAGATCAGCAAGCAAGCACAATGCATCCAGGAATCATGGGGCCACGCAGAGGCTGAATGAGCTTCATAAGGATAGTTGTAGAGACTGAAGCTGTGAGTCCAGGTTCCAGAGGGTCTGCGGACTTGCCTAAACCTCCAGAGTAAGCTCTCCTTTGCTGGAAACCTTTTCTGGGTTTAAAAACCTTAAATGGTTGAGAGTGGGTCAGGGTCATTAAAATCAAGAGTTTCTGGTGGAAGCTACATTTTATATATATATGTGTGTGTTTGTATGTATATATACGTACGTACACACACACACACATATATATATTGAATCCCTCTACTAAATCGTGAGAGAGAATGAACATTTCTTTGGTGATTACTGTATGTCAGGGACTCTACAAACCTCCACCTGTGGGATAGTTTTAATTTTTTATTATGAAAATTTTCATACTTACATAAAAGTAGAGAGTAGAACAACTCCCACGCACCCTTCACCCAGTTTAACTACCGTCGACTTGGTCCATCTTCATTTCGTCTCTCTCTCCATCTTTTCTTGGAGTATTTTAAGACAAGTTCCAGACCTCATGTATTTTCACCCTCAATGCTTCAGTGTGCATCTAAACACACATTTATTTTCTTCTTTCATAATCACAGTGTCACATATTTTTAGCTCCCATTTATTGGTGAAAAAAATGGAATCACTGGGAGGTTAACAGTTTGCCCGAAGATCACAGGGCCAGTAAATGAGTCTGTCGGACCTATTTTAAACTCTAAACTGTCATATTCCTCTGCTACAGCATGTTGCTTCCCACTGCTCGATCACTGTACCAGTGTATGAATGTTTATCCCAAAGGAAAAACATGCTTAGATATAGGCTAAAACTGCAACAGTCCAACTCTTATACGTTAATTTTTCAGATGGCTCTAAGTAAAAATAGGTACATGAAGTGTTTCCAAAATAATACAGATTAAACTATATCTACATAGTGTGCTTAAAATGTTTCATGTAAGTACAGACATATCAAGCCATATTTTGCTACTAATTTACACTATAATTTCATGATATATATTTTAGGTAAATATTTCGTTCCCTAAATATAAAATGTGCACAAAGTACTTTATATTAATTTAAGGCTTTTTCTTTGTCCAAATAATTTATATAAATGTGGTTCTCCCATTAAAACCCATGAGAAGTCAATCAAATGGAGAATCAGTACCTTAATTGCATTTTCAATGAAAGCCCATGTATATTACATTGCACATCTTTGGGCATCTTCCGTGAGACCAGCATATTTCAGAAGCCAGTCTAGCACACCATTGCAAGAGCCAGGGAGTTATACACAGTGGATTTTCCTTGAGGGTCAACCGTACTTAGTGGTAGTAATTTTGTGCTTAAAAATGTACATTCATTACTCAGTAGAATATAAAATTTGCAGGGATTTAAAAACAAAACCAAAGACTTTCAACAAAGTTCTTGCAATAGGTTGGTTTTAGGGCTGTGATTCCAGATATTTTTTTTTCTGCTCTTAAAAATATTTTGAAGGGAAAGTTTGAGAAGGACTGCTAATTGAAGAGCCAGATGATAATGATAGAGTATGAAACATGGCAATTACAATTAGGTAAGAGGAAGACAGAGCTAAAAGACATTAGACAAAGGAAAGGAAAATATGGGCTGGAATACAAGCAGTAAGAGAAAAGAACAGATCAAAGATCGCTAAGATGTTTCTACCTGGGTGACTGGGAAGTACAGAATCATTACCTATTAACAAACTAGAAGAAACTGAAATCTGGTTGGCAGTGAGGGGAAGCTGGGGTTTAGGGCTTGAGAACAATGAAAGAAATTGAGTGGGATAATATGATAGGAGTCTACTTGAGGTCAATTAAAAAACAGTAATCGAGCAGCACTGGGAACTTAGCTATGGTTAGAGAATAGGAATTCACAGGAGAATCTGCTGTTAAGTAGCAGGAATGCTCAAGGGCATAGTGAAGAAAAAAGCTGGTTTGCTTTTTCTAAAGTTGGAAAGTTACAGGCATTAAAATAAGTGTATCTATGACACAGTAAATCTTTTTAGAGACTGAGATTTTAGAAGTTCTGGGTGACATGGGGTGGCTATATTAGAGTGGCACTACTTCTTTAAATAAAAAACCCTGAAACTTCAAGCTCTGTTCTGAAAACTGTTATGAGTTTCATTGGGATTTAAGTACCTAACAGTTAAATAGCCATTAAAAGATTTATTAGATATTCACTTTAAGTGACCCCAGGGATGTCCTTCAATTTTACTCAATATCTGCAGTTTCTCTGAATTTTTTTGTTTACCTCTCCAAAAATGCTGATATGTATAAAAGAGGTATAAATCAAATTGATGTTTTAATTCACTAAGTGCCTGAAGGGAAGGTGCACTAGGAAAATATATTCAATGACAAGTTGATTTGTAATGGTGTTTGTTACCACAGCTGTACATGCCATTGTATACATTAGAGACAAACAGCCCACAACAGCAACAATGAAAATCAATCTTTAACACACAGGGAGAAACTAAGAAAATACAGCTCACCTCTAATTTCTGGTTCAAATTGCTCAGTTCAAAGGGTATTTCTTCTCTGAGGTGTGGCACTTCTTTTCGTCGAAATTTATTTTGTTTCATCTGGTGTAATCTCAGTTTTTCAAAGCTACTAGTCAGTTTGGAAAACTGTAAATAATAGAGAATGCTACCATTTTACTATTGGTTATTTCTAACTTGCTTTCATAATAGTTCTTTTCTTGTGTACCTCTTTCAAAATTTGTCATGATTAGGAAATGCAGTAAAGCTTAAATGTTCCAATTAGCGAAGATAGAACCAGTTATTAAAACTAAATTATTGAAGCTGAACACAATTCAGCTTTCATGTAAATCTGGGACTTCATTAACTGCGCAGTTAAACAACGATTCATTTGATAAAACGTTTTGTTCAGTTTTGTTTTAACCATATGTAGCAAAGCTCACAGTTTGGGAAAAAACACCAAATTTTTTTCCTTTCTTTTATTTAGTGCCATCTTGTGTTGACAGTATTAAATTCAGTAACTCAATCTAAAACAACCAATTTATACTTCACTTAAGAAAACTGAGTATTTAATTTAAAAGATACAGACAACATAAACTACTGATTCATATTGATATAAGTTTAAATAAATTTAAATATCAAACCTGATATAATCTTTTTCTTAGCAGTAATTCTTGTTATAACTGAGACCTTGTATTATTTTTTTTCTTGTTCTCTACCTTTAAATAATAGATTAAAAGCTGCATGGTCTATCAACATCTGTGAGGAAACTTCTAAATAACTTTACAAAAGTTTTTTGTTTTTATATTTTATTTTGAAATAATTATAGAATCACAGGAAGTTGCAAAGATATTACAAGAAGTTCTGGGTGGTCCTCTTCACCCCATTTCCCCCAATATTGACATCTTATTGAGCTATAGTATAGTATCAAACCCAGGTAACTGACATCAGTACAACATATGCATAAGCGTATCAATAGTTTATTCCTTTTTATTGCTAAGTATTATTACATGTTACAGATGTAACCACAGTTTGTTTGACTATTCATATATTGTGACATTTTGGTTGATCCCAGTTTTTAACTATTACAAATAAAGCTATGGACAACTGTGTCTACTTTATCTGGCAGTAACAGTCATTTCTGCTTTCTTTTCCTTTTTCACATAGTTTTAAAAATTGAGATATAATTCACCTAACCATAAAATTCACCATTTTGAGTATACTTCATTGGGTTTTAGTATATTCACAAAGTTGTACAATCATACTATCTAATTTCAGAATTTTTTAATCACCTCCAATAGAAACCCTGTATCTATAAGCAGTGACTACGCATTTCCTCCTTCCCCAAGCCCCTGGCGGCAACAAATCTACTTTATGTCTTTATAGATCTGTCTATTATGATCACTTCATATTAATGGAATCACATAATATGTGGGCTTTTGTGTCTGGTTCATCCATGCTGTAGCACAGAGCAATACTTCATTCCTTTTAATGACTGAATAATATTTTGTTGCACAGATATACCATAATTTGTTTACCCATTCATCAATTGATGGACATTTGGATTGTTTAAATGTTTTTGATATTATGAAAAAAATGCTGCTATGAAAATCTGTGCACAAGTTTTTGTACAGATATATGTTGTTATTTCCCTTGGCTATACACCTAGGAGTGGAAGAGCTGGGTCATACAGAAACTCTAAGTTTAACTTTTTAAGAACTGCCAAACAGTTTTCCAAAGTGGGTGTACTATTTTCCATTTCTACTGGCAATGTATTGGGTTCCAATTTCTCCATATCCTCACCTATACTTGCTACTGTTCATCATTTGATTATAGCCGTGAGTAGGTGTGAAGGGGCATCTCAATATGATTTTGGTTTGCATTTCCCTAATGACTAATGATGTTGAGCTTTCTTTCATGTGCTTATTGGCCATCTGTATATCTCCTTTGGAGAAATGCCTGTTCACATCTATGCCCATTTTAAAGTTTGGTCATTTGTCTTTTTATGGTTGACTAGTAAGAGTTGTTTTCTTTTTAAATTCTGGATACTAGCGCCTTATCAAACAAGTGATTTGAAAATATTTTCTCCCATTTTGTGGGTTGTCTTTTTACTTTCTTTTGGTATCCTCTGAAGCACAAGGTTTTTTTAAATTTTGAAGAAATCAAGTTTATCTAATTTTTCTTGTGCTTTTGGTGCCACATCTAAGAAACTATTGCCTAATCCAAAATCACAATGACTTCCTCCTGTGTTTTATTCTAAGAGTTTTACAGAGTTTAGTTTTTACATTTAGGTCTTTGATCCATTTTGAGTTAATTTTTGTCTGTGGTTTCAGTAAGGGTCCAACTTAGTTCTTTTTCATGTGGATATTCAGTTGTCTTGTCACTATTTGTTGAAAAGATTATTCTTTCTCCATTGAATTACCCTGGCACCACTTCTGCTTTCTTTTGATTAATATTTGCCTGGTATATATTTTTCTTTTCTTCGTTTTTTCTCTTTTTACTTTCAGTTTATATACATAGTTATGTTTGAAGTGAGTTTCTGGAACAGAGCATATACTTGGGTCATATTTTTTTAATTTACTCTGTAAATCTTTATCTTTTAACTGCTGTATTTGGGCCATTTTCATTTAATGTAATTATTGATATGTTAGGGTTTAAGCCTGACATTTTTTCATTTTATGTTTGTTCTCCAGTTTTTGATTTCTCTGTTTTAGCTTTCCCGACCTCCTCTGGGTTCTCTGAACATTTTTTCAAGAATTCCATTTTGATTTATCTATAGCATTTTTTAATATATTTCTCTGCACAGATTTTTCAGTTAATGCTCTAGGTATAATATTATATATACATAACTTATTATAATCTACTGGTGTCAACATTTTACTGGTTCAGGTGAAGTGTAGAATCTTAGTTCTTTTTATGTTCCTTAACCATGACTCATTTATAGCATTATTGTCTTAAATTTTCCTCAAAATACATTAAGAACCACTTTAGATATTATAATTTTTGCTTTAGCTGTCAAACAATTTAGAAAATTCAAGAGAAGGAAAGTCTTGCATTTACACTTTTTTCTTTTTTTTTTACTTTTTCCAATTTTTTTCTTCTTTTCTGATGTCTCAAAATTCTTTATCATTTCCTTTCTGCTCAGAGAACTTCCTTGATCTATTCTTTTAGGGTAGATCTATTGGTGACAAATTCTCTTAGTTTTCCTCCATTTGAGAATGTCTCAATTTCCCCTTCATTCCTGAGTATGGAATTCTGGGTTGACATTCCTGCTTTTTCAGCAATTGAAAAACATTCCACTTCCTTCTGGCCTCCATGGAAATCCATTATCTGAATTGTAATTGCTTACTGAAGCATTTTTATAACAGCTGCTTTAAAACCCTTGTCAGATAATTCTAACATCTATATCAACCTGGTGTTGCCATCTCTTAACTGTCTTTTCTCACTCAAGTTGGTTCTTGAAATGATGAATGATTTTTTAATTGGAACCCGGACATTTTTGGGTCTTGTGTCATGTGACTCTGGATTTTATTTAAATATTGTGTTTTAGCAGTCCTCTTCTGACAACATTCCTGCAGAGAAAATGGAATGCTGCCTCATTACTGCCAGGTGGCAGTGGAAGTCCAGTTCTTAACTTGACTTCAAATGGTAACCTGGGGGAGGTGTTCCTTGTAACTGCTGAGTGGGAGTAGGAGGGGGAGTTCAGGTTCCCCACGTCTCCCACTGACATCACTTTGACTGGAAGGGCAAAAGTGCTTTGTTCCTGCTTCTTACATGGCCTTCAGTGACACTGTAGTGAGGGGAGTAGCCCTGTTATCACTGAGAGGTGACGAGTGTCCTGACTCCTCATTAGGCTTCCCCAGATACCATTCCAGAGAGGAGGGCTGCCTCATCACCATCAGATGGGCAGAGAAGTCCAGGCTCTCCATGTGGTCTCCACTGACACCATGGATTGGGGTGGGTCTTATTAACACCCAGTGGTGATAAAAGTCCCGTCTTTCCACTCAGTCTTCTCTGACTCCATCCAGCAGGGGGCCTGGGCCACCTTGTTACAGCCTGGTGAGGGTGGAACCCAGGTGGTCCACCCATCTCTGCTGGTGAAGTGGGTTTATGGCCATAGTATTTTTCTGGAACTTTTTGGATAGAGGGGAGCAGTTATTATCTAAAAATGTTGAATCTTCATAGGCTTTTTCTGGTCTTTCAGTTTTGGGAGCAGGCCTTCCTCTGGGCTCTTTTTGTGTTTGTACCCCCTGCAATGTCTGGGTTGCTGGCTTCTCTGTTATCCAGTCTGGGATATAACAGGCAAAAAGAAATTCCAGGGAACTCATCACCATCTCTTGGGTTCCTTGGGTCTCAAAGTCCTAGTTAGTCTGTCTCTTCTCTCCACCTCTCAGGGCCTTCTTATATTGTTTTATAAATAATGCCCAGGGTTTCTAGTTGCATTTAGCAGGAGTAATAGGGGAAATTACATCTGTTCCACTTTTCCAGAAGCAGACATCTCAAATATATACATAATTATAGTTTTATAATGGTCACAAGGAAAAGAAATGTCCTGTTTAAAAAAAGGAAGCAATACCTACAAGAAAGTTTTGACAGAGTTGAGTTATTCAAGGCAGAGAGTGGTAAATAATAGATCCTTAAGATATTCTAGGAAAATGAAGTTGTAAATCAATGAGGAATTTCAAAGAAGGATGCAACAGAGTGAGCTAGCAGCAGTAAGTCTGTCACCAAATATCAACTTCAGGCTAGAAAAATGACATATTACTAGCTGTTATGCAAACCAAGTCAAGTAGACAGTACTTTTCTTTTCCTGTCTTTTCCCTCCTTTCCTCTTCCTTCTCTTCTGGTCTCCCTCCTCAACTCTCTTCCTTCCTTTCTCTTAACCAGAGAAGAAAAGAGAAGCAGAAAACTGTGATGGAAGCAGACGGCTGTTCTGTCAACAACACGGTGTTTCCGAAGTGCATTCTATCAAACTCCTGTTTACAGTGTTTACACTGTAGCTGTGCTCAGTATAGCTGGCTTTAGTCTGAACAATAAAAAAGGTCCCATGGCCAAACATGTCTGAAAAATGAGGGATTAAAAAGGCTAGATGGATGTCTTCAAAGCAGAACTTCTCACAGCCGTACTTTGCTGCTGTGCACTGTGAACGTCCACGAGCAGGAGAGGAGGGAACAGCATTTCCTAAGCTCTCAGTGTTTGAGCACAGAACAAATTTTTGTGAAATCTCCATAAGGATATTTGTTGGTTAGCCAGCAGCCAAGGAATAAAATAAACCGCAAAGCATCAAATGGCAAGGATTCCTATATTAAATGACTGTT